GGCAGTGAGAGAGCAGCTGGACCCAAAGGGCCCTGGCTTGGATCTGTAAACAAAATACAAAACTCTTTATGAACCTGCCAGACTATTTTCTATATGTAAATAAGCCAAACCAATGAGATACAAACAGGGATAGTTCACCCCAAAAATTCATCAATCACTCACCCATGTGATTCCAAACCTGCATGACTTCTGTGAAATACAAAAGAAGATATTTTGAAGAACTGCATTTTCATGAATTTTCATTTTTGGGTGAACTATCCCTTTATAGATGCTGTGAGTCATTTTGCTAAACAAAATCCTCTCTCCAAAGATATATTAGCAATTCAGATCACACAAAATTATTTGCAGGCTGAAAGTGTTTTTGATTAGCTAGTTTTCTGATTGGCTAAAAAAAAAGTGCAGACCACTCCCCCTGACTATTTTGTGTCATTTTAAACAGCCTAGGTTAGTCTACCGACATCTCAGGTAGCAGGGATATTTTATGCATAGTATTCAAAGTGCTTAAAGCACCTTTAACATATATCCTCTGTGCTGCTGCATAAAATAAGTTAGCTTTTAGAAGACAAGAAGGCTAGATATCATGAAGTACATTTACATGTACAAGTATATAAATCACTATCTCTGTTATTAAAATGATTCAATTGATGATTCTTACCTGAGGTCGAAGCCACTGTTTCATTGGGGCTGTCTCCCCCGCTGTTGCCTCCCCCCAGCAGCATGGAGGACAGTGGTGGCTGGCCCCGCTTCAGTAGCACTTTCTGGTCCGGCTGGGAACGGAATCGAGGGGGCACTTCACGGGGCATGTAGCGCTGGGAATTCTGTGTGCCGGGGGAGGGCTGTCCGTTGGCCACCGCCGGCCGCTTAGCATTGTTCCCACCCTGAGGGAGGGCGCCAGCAGCCGGGGTGGCAGCGGATGGGGTTGAAGAGGGGACGGGGCCAGGGCTGGGGAAAGTTGAGTTGGGGGTGGCAGGAGACTGTGCAGATGGAGGCTTGGTCAATTCTGGCACTGTGTAGTGGAAAATTTAGGAGCAAATGAGAGCAGAACTACAGAACATCTACATTAAGGTAAAGGAAAGAATAAATGGATTTTACACATTAACACACTGACACACTTTTTCATTTCATGTTTGTTTGTCAGCAGAATGACACATTGTCTCTGTAACTTTCAGGATATCCGCACACAGTACAGACCAAAAAGATGAAAAATAGCATTAAAAATGCCACAACAGCATTAAAAATGCCAAAACTATCTTAGATAGTTTTCTTTCATGCAACATATTAGTCAAGGGCTTGATCTCTGTCATTCATAATTTAATAACAGGTCAGGCATCTTCTTTAGATAAAATACGGAGGACTTGGGAGGAAGATCTTGGCAGACCACTCTCGGATGACACATGGGACAGTGTCCACTCATCATCAATGTGTGCTCAGCACTCACTTATTCAGTTCAAAGTAGTACAAAGAGCTCATATGTCAAAAGTTAAATTAGTTAAAATGTTCCTTGGTACTAGTCCCATGTGTAACATATGTCAATGTGCTGAGGGTTCACTAGTTCATATATTCAGGACATGCCCTAAATTAAGGCGCTTTGGCGATCTGCATTTGACACTCTTTCATCGGTTCTCCACACCGGTTAAGAGCCAGATGCCCTGGTGGCATTATTTGGAGTTGCCCCAGAAGAGTCATGGTTATTTACATCAATGTGTAAAGTCCTTGCTTTTTCTTCCTTGTTAGCATGCAGAGCATTACTACTAAAGTGTAAGGAGGCTGCTCCACCCACTCACACCCAGTGGATCAGAGATATAATGTCTTGTCTTTGCCTTGAAAAGATAAGGTACTCATTAAGAGTATCAGAAAAACAATTCCTTGATTATTTATAAATAACGCCCTATTATTGACTGTTAAAACCTAAATGGATGCCAAACCAGTGTTCTTTAATATATCTTATTTTTTGTTTCTTTTTACATCGAGTCAGTGCGTGCACCTATATAGGCCTACATATAGGTGAGAGTTTATGTGTGTAGGCATGCATGTATATACTACTTTTCAATTTTGAATTATTATAGAAATCATTGGTCAGCATGGATGTAATCCCACGGATTTGTTGGTGATGGTTGGGGGATAGTTGAATCTGATTTGTTTTTTAAAAAAAAACTAATTTTAAAAAAGCTTTGAGAAAAAAAATGCCACAACTATAGCAAAACACACTTTAAAAAGACAACAGAATGTAGTTACCTTTATTTTTTTGCTCTGCAACCTGAAACAAAAGGGGGAAAAGGTGTCACTATTGATATTTAATTTCTTAAAGTACAGAACAATGTTTGCTGGGCTGATTCTTGAAAATTATTCATTCATAGATTTGTGCCAAGCAGATCTTCATGACTATTTTTCTATAACCATTTTAGCTATTGCAAAGAGCATTAAAGGGTTAGTTCACCCCAAAAATTTAATTCTGTCATTAATTAAGGTTCATAAAATTAAGGTTGAAACAATGTAGTCACATGGACTATTTTAACGATGTCTTTCCTACCTTTTCGGGCCTTAATTAAATAAATAGCTGTCAATGGAGCCCCTCTGAGCCATCGGATTTCATCAAAAATATCTTAATTTGTGTTCCGAAGGATGAACAAAGGTCTTACGGGTTTGGAACGACATGAGGGTGAGTAATTAATGACAGAATTTTCATTTTTGGGTGAACTATCCCTTAGAGGTCTATTCACACCAAGGATGATAACTATTAGGGATGTGTGAGACTAGCCGACTAGTCGATTAAAAGATACTGCTGCTGCTAGTTGACTTGGAAATACTAGTCGTTTACTTTACTTCTTTTTGCACATTTAATGTTTTGCTTTATATTTTTACAAAGGCCACGTTTAAATTACCGTCACATCTTAAAATGAATATATGATTTTGAAAAGTGTATCTGCAGTGGAAAACAAACTTATTTAATTTTACCTCAGATTGTGCATGCGTTCTTTTCTTTGTGGTGCTCGCGGTAGGTTCAGAGAAACTTCCACTCGCAAGATGAGCAAGGTGAGGCAGTATTTTGAACGCCTACATAAAACTTTTCCATTTTCTTCTATGTCATGTCAAACTAGTATAACAATTAAGCTTGCTTAGGTCATAGGTTTGTTATACTACTGGTTATGAGGGACAATACAGTATGACATTTTATATTGGATTAAAGGAAAAACATTATGAATGAAACTTAGGCTACTTGACACTTGAACAGTTGCAATATCAACATCCTAACCTATAGTTGGCAGTACACGTCAAGCTTTTCTTGCAATTTTGCCGCCCATCACTTTTGTTTTCTCACCACTGTTATTTTTGTTGCCTATTTTTTTTTTGTTATTGAGGAAAGCGCGCAGCACATATTTACATAATCGTCTAAACGGCGCTCTCATCAGTATGGATGTCTAGATGTTTTTTAACAGTATAGCGTTGCGAAGGTATTTCAAACTTCTTTTTATCCATAAGCAAACAACAAAAAAGACTTTCACTGCAAGTAGATCACACAATTAATCTTTGGTAACTCTTTCTTCTCATTCTTTGTTCTTAACTTTGATGTTTATGGTGCATTTAGGCTATGTATTGGGTTCGTAACTTCATTAAAACAATATTTGAACTCCATAACCTAAGACCTATTGCTATTGAATAATTTCACATATTCTCAAACCAGCATATCACAACGAGTATTCTGGATACTGAGAGAGTGGAGAGGAATCTTCAGAAAGGCACTCTCCACTACGGAGGAAATATTACCGCTCCGCTCACATGCTCTGGAATAAACTGAATATTATCATCCGTTGGTGTGGACACTAATATAATTATCATCTTTATAGTTATCATTCTTGGTGTGAATGGCCCTTTACAGCCTACCACCGCAAAAGAACAATAAAAACGAAGCAAATTAACTACAGAAAAATAGAATAAGCTGACAATTTCAAATGTTTTCTGCTACTACTTTTACTGTCTCTCCATCTGTCCCACACATAAAAATAAACGTGTTGTTAATCCAATAACTGCTTAGTACAAGCCTACATCACTAGTTCCAATTCGCTTTGAAAAACTAGTAACAGAGGCTTGGATGACTTTCAAATTTTTTTGATGTCAAATCAGTGGTGTAAGAAAGTAGTTCTACACACATAAGCTGAAGAATTGACTCTGTGACACTGAATTATTGAAAATTAATGCACACCTGCCACATAAATTACCATCACAGGGAGCATTAATTTACTATAATTTAACAATCCAAAATAATTAATTCATACATAATATAACAAATACCTTCTGTGAGGTTTCCCGTTTCCTTTTATCTTCCTTTTTCCTTTTCTTGTCTTCCATGAACTGCTGTTCCCTTTTCTGATGCTCCTTTCTACAAACGATATGGAGCTCATTATACTGTTTAAAAAACAATATTGTTCAACTGAAAAACCTTATCAAGGATATAGACCTTTTCTGTCTAATCCGGAGTACGCACTACCAAGGATCGGTAAAATGTACAGTTTTTGATGAGTATCACCTTCAACTAGTCCAGGCACTGCCTTGTTACCAAACCAAATGCATAACAGCCTGAGACACAACAGCGGCACCATTCACATGATCATACCATCACAAATCACTGTATACGTAACGTCAAAGGAATGTTGGTTATAGGGTCAACCTGAGTTTGCGTGTGTCATGTAATAAATCGGATGCCCATTAAAATCATACTGTGATCGTGGTAATGGGAGAAATTATTGCTGTAATCTGTCTGCGAGCCTGCAGTTGGCAGGCAGGGCAGTTTCGGACAGGCTCTCCGTTCACCCGCCCATTTCCTCCAGTGCAATATACGATAATACATACATTACATTCCATGCGTCAGCTATCCGAACGATTCGTTAAAAATCAACTATTTAAACGACAATGACTAAAATATTGCGTTAACTCGTATGCTTTAGTGGTCCTGCCAAATCTTGTTACCGAGTTAGCTAACGTTAGTTTGTTAGAAGAAAATGACTGGTAATCTGGTAATTTCGTTAAATTCCCCCTGAATCCGTCGATTAATTGCATACGGATAGCAACACAAATCAAATGGGTAAGCAACCGTCAAAACAAGACACGCATAAATATGCATTTGATCAAATTTGGGGAGCAACAGCAATAGACTATGAGTCGGGATACATTGCCCACCAAAACCATAAAGCAAACTCATATGTGTTTCCATTTAATGCAATCATTGTCCATATCAATTAGTACAGACTAAATAAAAACTAGTATGTTTTACGACCGACTAGCGGAAAGCTAAACCTGCAAACAAGTATATGCTAACTAGCTGGCTGGCTAATTTAACTAGCAATCGAGCTAGTGGCTAACAGATGTCGACGAGGAAAAACTGTATCACACATAAATACTTTCACGCCAGTGCGGTTTTTCAAATGCATATTACTACCATTGGTAGCAAATAACATTTCATATAAGTTGGGTTTTTTTAAACAAAGCACTTACCTCAGGAATTACATGCACCGCAGCTAGACTTCTAGCTACAGCTAAAGTGCTTAAGTGCGAATTTCTGGGTTTTGAGGCAACGTGAAATACAATACTCCATCAAAATCGAATAGCTAGTCATGAAAACACTCCTTCTATTGTTTTTAAATGTGAAATACGATAATGTAAACGAAAGAGGCGAAATCTATGTTTAAAGCGCTGTAAAGTCAGTTGGTTGACGGTCGGCCATTTTACTGCTCGTTGTGAATGTGTGTGTCTGGACAGGTCTGACGGAAAGGGGGCAACCGAGGGAGATTTTTGACCTTCAATATTAAAAGTCCAATAACTCTTTATTTGGCCGTTCTTATAATAAAACAATGTACTATTTATTGTGAGATCAAGCTCTTTTGGAATGGTTGGTTACTGTACTGTTTCTCTTTCAACATCAGTTAAATGGCTTCTTCAGTCTATCCATCAAATTTCACATATTATTTAAATATAGAATAATGTTTTAGTACAGGGATTTTCTTTTTTGTATAAACATCCATTTTTACAATAAAAAAATTACTGTTTTTAGAATTAAATAATTGACTTTTATGTTGCCATTGTAATAAAGCTTTTATCTGAAGCTTTTATACCTTTGTTAGATATACTGTATAAAATTGTCCATATGATAAAATAATTTGTAATTTCATTTTCTTTCTTTTTATAGAAAGCAGAATGAAACAAAAATTATGTCAAATTCCGTAATTTTAACTTTAACCTTCTGAAAAAAAATTCCACTGAATTTTCACACTCTTGAGGTCCCTAGGGGTGCGTGCCCGGATACAATGTTGAAAGCTCCTGTCTTAGTATCATCTCCAGTGTAAAATATTATTTGAAATGTATAATGTCAGATCACAAATGACCTGCCCTAATATAAAAGTAGCCAAAATCAGTTTAGATCTAGAGTATTTTAAATGTTAGAAAAAAAATCTTTATGTTTTTATTGCACTATATATCTCTTAGGTAAACTGCACACCAATTTTTGGTTCATGATTAATAATGTTTTCATCAGTGTAGATTTACCACATCATATTTGGTTGTTTATTATTCATAGTTTTAAGTATGTCTAATCACATGCTTATTCTTGATTTAGAAAAATATGGCCTCACGAATAAAAGGCAAGAAGAGAAAGACTGAGGAGGTTACTGAAACAAAGGAGCTACAACATTTTGATGCAGAACTATCAGATGGGGGCAGCAGAGAAGAAGAAATGGCACAGAAAAGAAAGATAAAGGCAAAGAAAAAATACATAGGCGCTCACGTCTCAGTATCAGGTGAGCAAAGATGCTTTATTTTGAGTGCAGTGTTTGTGCTGAATGCATATCAATTTTACAAATATTCTTCCACAAATGAAAACGTTGTCATCATTTACTTACCCTCATGTTGTTCCAAACTGTATGAGTTTCTTTCTTCTGTTGAACACAAAAAAAAAGAGATATTTTGAAGATTGTCGGTAACCAGACAGTTGACGGCACCCATTGACTTCCATAGTATTTTATTTCTTACTATGGAAGTCAATGGGTGCCATCAACTTTCTGGTTACCAACATTCTTTAAAATAGCTTCTCTTGTATTCAACAGAAGAAAGAAATTCATACAGGTTTGGAACAACATGAGGGTGAGGGAGTAGTTACAAAATTTTCGTTTTTGTGTAAACTATCTCTTTAAGGAGGAATATGGAAAGCAGTCGAATCAAGTGTGACCATGGGAGGTCATGCTTTTGCCCTTTTCTTGGGCTCCCAGCGCTCCTGGACCAGACCAGCCCTTGATCCAGCTGCTGCAGTTAAATTTCAAAAAGCCTGTGCTCAACATGGCTTCGATCCGATACACATCCTGCCACATGGATCTTATTTGATGAACTGCGGTTCCCCAAAAGAAGGTTTGTGCGCTGACTGTTCCCGCTCTGGTTGTGTGCATCCACCAAATACTGATTATTTAAAGATAATCAAAAGCCACAAGTTTGGCATATTTAAAAACACAGCTCAGCTGATTTAGTCAATATCTTGTCAATAATACTAGGCTGCATATGTTTTGTATATAAGACTGAATGTCAAATGACTCTGCATGTTGTAATCCAGATGTGTTCAGTAAGAGCAAGTCTATGCTTGTGGACGAACTGAGTCGCTGCAGTGCACTGGGTCTCAGCCAGTTTAACTTTCACCCTGGAGCTTCTTTGGACTCCAGCCCTGAGAAATGCATAGAGAAAATTGCCCAAGCTATTAACCACGCACACCAGCAAACCCCTGCCGTCATTACAGGTCAACTATACAACCGTGATGATTTGCAGAAAATGTGCAACTGTGTTCATGCTTTCTGGTGAATTTAGCTGGATTATATTCTTTCTTTTGCTCTTTCTTTTCTCTCAATAGTGCTTGAAAACATGAGTGGTCAGGGCAGCACTGTAGGTGGGCAGTTCATTGAACTGAGAAGCATAATAGACCGGGTGCGTGACAAGACACGTGTTGGGGTGTGTCTGGACACTTGCCATGCTTTTGCAGCAGGTATGGTGTGAAGTCCCATATATATTACCACAAATTATTTGGAAAAAGATAAGTTTGGTACAAAGATCAAAAGTATGGGCTAACATGACAAACCTTAACTTTTTTTACTTTAAGATAGCTCTGCTGATTAAATATATAAAGCATTTGAGATGAGATGATATTCTTCTGTTTAGGCTATGACATTTCACCACCTGGAGGAGTAAAGAATATGCTTGATGAATTTGACCGTGTGGTTGGGTTGCATTATTTGAGAGCTGTTCATTTAAATGACTCTAAAGGTATGCAGCATTCATTTGGTCTTCTCAATATAAAGTGCTTCAGGAATGATGTGTTTTGTAAAAAATTCTGTGAGAGTAGGAAAAAGGCTACAGAAGTAATTTGAGACAAATCTAGCTAATAAATGTAAAACACACACACACACACACACACACACACACACACACACACACACACACACACACACACACACACACACACACACACAGTACACATGCATACTACTCCTACATTTTCTGCCATAGAAAGATATGGTAAAACCAGTAAGGATAGTAGTATTTGGCAGTTCCGAATTCAGCAGGTTACTAACAAGTGGCTAAATGGGACTAGGCCTATAGAGAATGTCAGGGACATTAAACGTCATCACGCTGAACAGAAAAATTAATCTACTACTCACTAGTCCCCTTTTACAACCTAAAACTTTTACATTTTGTCGAATGTATTTAGGCTTTAAAAATCATAAAAGTTGTGTTCATTTGTGAAGATTATATTATGAAAAAATGTGTAAATAAATACTTTTGGTGTTCACAGAGCTTATGCAATAATCCAAAAGCCAATGGAAAAATCCTATAGGATTTTTGTAGAGGGAACCAGGATGAAACTGTTGGCCTTCAAAAATACATCATCACTGTAGCACTCTAATGCTGTAATTGGTTGTGCAATGACAGTGTGACAAGTTTAGCCTATATGAATATATATATTGTTTCTTCTTTTGAGATTGTGTAATTTGTCTTTAAAAGGAACATTAGGCAGCCATCTGGACCGCCATGAAGACATTGGACGTGGCCAAATAGGTATTACTGCTTTCCGAGAAATTGTGAATGAGCCTCGACTGGATAATATCCCTCTGATTCTAGAAACACCCGGTCGGTAAGTTTCAGGTTGGAAAAACAAAATTTGTTGCGAATTAAATGAACCGACAACATTGACTTGCATTTTATCTGCGTCCTCTCATTCTAGCCCAGGCTTTGAGTATGCTGAACAGATAGAGCTCCTTTACTCCCTTTGTGAAAAAAGGTGAAGAATTAGACATCTGCTGGGTGCCAGCCTCCTTGGCACCAAAGGAAGTTATTATTGTAAAGCATAATAAATATTACCCTGATTATGTAAGTCTGCATTTTATTAATTGAGCATTTAATGAGATCTCCATTTGATTTTAAGATCCTTTCATGTTTCTAGAAATACTGTTGTTTTTGGTCACAGTTTTCTTTTCTTTTTTATTAAATAAGCTGAATTTTAATTTAGTCTGCATATCAGTATTTTGAACAGTTCCTAAGATTCTGCTGATTCTGGAGTTATAAACATTTTGACCATAAGAGGGAGCCAGGAACCAGGATTTGGACACATAGGTCAGGAGTGGCGACTGCTTATTCTGTGCACTCTTGTCTCTTCAGTTACTTTAGTTTTTAGTTTACTTCTGAATTAGCTTTTATTTGTATATTTTTCAGTTTTCATGTTCATTTGATTTAATTAAGGATAATAACCCTGCTCTTCAATGCTGTAAATATTTAGCTTTTTCTCCACCATATCTTTCTCATCAGTTAGAGTTGAAGGGACCTTAGAAGTTGTAGTGTAACTGTGCAGCGCTTCTGCTTGTACGTCACACGCATCACACACATGACCAGCGTTGGCCAATAGTGAGCCTACGTGTGACGAACAACACAGAAGCATTGCGCAGTTTCACTACGTGAAATCTCGAAGCCCACAGAGAAGGAAATGAATAGTTGAATAAAGTCATTATTTTTGTTCGTTTTTTGCGCACAAAAAGTATTCTCGTCGCTTGATAAACTTAAGATTGAGCCACTGTAGTCACTTGGACTACAGGTCCTTCTCAAAAAATTTGCATATTGTGATAAAGTTCATTATTTTCCATAATGTAATGATAAAAATTTAACTTTCATATATTTTAGATTCATTGCACACCAACTGAAATATATCAGGTCTTTTATTGTTTTAATACTGATGATTTTGGCATACAGCTCATGAAAACCCAAAATTCCTGTCTCAAAAAATTTGCATATTTCATCCGACCAATAAAAGAAGTGTTTTTAAAAAAAAAAAAAAGTCAACCTTCAAATAATTATGTTCAGTTATGCACTCAATAGTCAATACTTGGTCGGGAATCCTTTTGCAGAAATGACTGCTTCAATGCGGCTTGGCATGAAGGCAATCAGTCTGTGGCACTGCTGAGGTGTTATGGAGGCCCAGGATGCTTCGATAGCGGCCTTAAGCTCATCCAGAGTGTTGGGTCTTGCGTCTCTCAACTTTCTCTTCACAATATCCCACAGATTCTCTATGGGGTTCAGGTCAGGAGAGTTGGCAGGCCAATTGAGCACAGTAATACCATGGTCAGTAAACCATTTACCAGTGGTTTTGGCACTGTGGCCAGGTGCCAGGTCGTGCTGAAAAATGAAATCTTCATCTCCATAAAGCTTTTCAGCAGATGGAAGCATGAAGTGCTCCAAAATCTCCTGATAGCTAGCTGCATTGACCCTGCCCTTGATAAAACACAGTGCTCCAACACCAGCAGCTGACATGGCACCCCAGACCATCACTGACTGTGGGTACTTGACACTGGACTTCAGGCATTTTGGCATTTCCTTCTCCCCAGTCTTCCTCCAGACTCTGGCACCTTGATTTCCGAATGACATGCAAAACTGAGCAACAGTCCAGTGCTGCTTCTCTGTAGCCCAGGTCAGGCGCTTCTGCCGCTGTTTCTGGTTCAAAAGTGGCTTGACCTGGGGAATGCGGCACCTGTAGCCCATTTCCTGCACACGCCTGTGCATGGTGGCTCTGGATGTTTCTACTCCAGACTCAGTCCACTGCTTCCGCAGGTTCCCCAAGGTCTGGAATCGGTCCTTCTCCACAATCTTCCTCAGGGTCCGGTCACCTCTTCTCGTTGTGCAGCGTTTTTTGCTACACTTTTTCCTTCCCACAGACTTCCCACTGAGGTGCCTTGATACAGCACTCTGGGAACAGCCTATTTGTTCAGAAATTTCTTTCTGTCTTACCCTCTTGCTTGAGGGTGTCAATGATGGCCTTCTGGACAGCAGTCAGGTCGGCAGTCTTACCCATGATTGCGGTTTTGAGTAATGAAACAGGCTGGGAGTTTTTAAAAGCCTCAGGAATCTTTTGCAGGTGTTTAGAGTTAATTAGTTGATTCAGATGATTAAGTTAATAGCTCGTTTAGAGACCCTTTTCATGATATGCAAATTTTTTGAGACAGGAATTTTGGGTTTTCATGAGCTGTATGCCAAAATCATCAGTATTAAAACAATAAAAGACCTGAAATATTTCAGTTGGTGTGCAATGAATCTAAAATATATGAAAGTTTAATTTTTATCATTACATTATGGAAAATAATTAACTTTATCACAATATGCTAATTTTTTGAGAAGGACCTGTATTTTAACAATGTCTTTAATAACTTTTCTGGGCCGGCAAGTTTCGATCCCTTAGAAGCCGATGGAGGAGTGAGACAGCTCTCAGATTTAATCAAAAATATCTTAATTTGTGTTGCGAAGATGAACGAAAGTCTTACGGGGTTGGAACAACATGAGGGTGAGTAATTACTGACAGAATTTTTATTTTGGGGTGAACTATCCCTTTAATTCGTTGACAATGTTCACAAGTCACCCCAGGCCCAAGTCCCGTCTCAGGTGCAGCTGCTCGCAACTCTACACTTCCACAGCCCACCATTAGCTGGACCACACAAGAATGCCATGCAGTCTTGCAAAAACACATTTTTAGTGAGGCTGCCATCTAGAAACCTATATAAGTGGTTTTAGACTTTTAAAGTAGCTGTAGGAAGGATGTTTTAGAGTGTGAATTTATACAGGAAGACAAAAGTGCCTTGCATTGGAATCTGCTACTCTTTGCCAGGCAACAGGAAATATCAGTCATGGAGTTAATAAACCACAGGGCGAACATAGGTTTTGAAACTTAATCATAAGACACTCAGTGTATGAATTAATATGTATTCATATCACCGAGATGTTCTGTGTTTTGTTTTAGTTTCTCTCCAATTCATCTAAGATAAAACATTTGGTATGCAAATGGCATCAGAAATTTCCAATTCTCATTAGGTTTTCCTTCTTAAACTTAACCTGAAATGAAACTTTTGACTATTAAAGCTAATTAATAGAGCCTGAGGTATAAAGCTCTAGTCTATTATACTTGAGTTAAATACTTAAAAATTCTATAAACCGGGATATAATATTATATAAAAGGGATATAATATGTAATATCCTCTCATTTTTAGGCATACACTATTCAGTTTACCTTAAAATCAGCTGAAGGCAAAGCCAAAGAAGAACAAACAACTTGGAGGCTGCAGGACTCCTGCTAAGTTACTGTTTGAACAGTAGTTTCCCCAATGTTGCACATTTGTTGGGATCTGTCAGGATAAAATGTTTTGGTTTTATAAAAAATATTTGAAAATCCTTTGGGGGCCTGTGGCGGTTTTCGTTAGCTGTGTGAAATTAAAATGACGGTTATCTAGTGTACTTAAGAACTGCAAATGCTAATGTTTTGGTGAGTACATGTAACATCAGGCTTAGCAAAGCCTCACTTCAACAGACTGAAAGCCTTATGAGCCAGATGACGCAGTGCCAGATGAGCAAAATCGATGGACCACACAGTCTTTTTCTACTGCGTTTCTCATAAATCACAAACCAACTGCAATTCCTCTGATTTAGTTTTAATGTTTGTGCAAGATTTATTTAATATGTGGAACCACATGAATGTGCATCCCTTGCCTTGCATTCTCAGCAAACACATTTAATGAGGTAACCATTTAAAGGTGCAGTTAGTAAAATGGCTGTATATGGCTTCGAATGCATCTCCGCTGCTGACCCTTACTGAGGAATTTTCCGGAGTGGTGGCTGGGCATAGAGCCACGGAGCGACAGGCCTTCATACACAGCAGCCCAGCGGCCGCAGGCTCCAGCCTGGTCCTCCAAGAGCCCTGTTACTCTGGTAACCACATAACATCCAGATAGTCTATGCATGCTGGTGGATATTTACTTTCCTGAATTTCAGCTGAAGGATGCTGGATATTATGATATACAGTGATATACAGATATTATGATATACAGTGTTAATTAGACAGCACATTAATAGATTTGAAACGCCTAAAGACATGTCCAGGTCACACACCCTAAATCAAAGTAATAAAAACAAGTCATATTTTGCTTTAATCATTATTAATAATTCAGCATCCACTCAATTGCCATGGTAATGGCTAGACCAGTGATTCTCAACCCATTGTCCAACACAATATTCTTTATTGTGAACAATATTCACAACTCCAGATAAGATATTTCTGCTATAATTATGACAGTATACACTTTTTTCAAACTTTTTTATTAACAGAAACTAGGAGTGTTAATTAAACAGTTTTTTTCTTATGTAAAATTCAAGATTTTGATTATGTATGATATCAATAAAAATAATTTATAGATAGGAAAAATGTGTGTGTGTGTGTGTTTTAGCATTTTATTTAAATTAACTTTTGGAAGTTTGCTGAGGCGGCCTCACATTATTTAATTACATTAAGAAACACTGGTCTAGATAAAAAATTTTTTTTTTTTTTTTTTTTTTTTACAATGCCATTATTCTGAATAGTGAGTGATTCCTATTTAATTCTCTTTACCAACGTACAGTATTTGTAATTAAAAAAAATAAAAATTATATATGTTTTATATTTTAACTTTTTTTCATTACAATAATAGACATAATTTATTTATAGAAAAAACTCTGTTTGTAAAACTTGTTTTTTCTTTTCAGTTGTAAATCCCTATTGCTGAAATTTGATATTAAATGATTTGAGCAGTGTGGATTTACACCTGAAAAGACAAAAACACCTGAAAGCTAGTCTTGGATTACTTCTCAGCAAAGCAAAATAGTGAGTGTTAGCTGTAAAAATAAATTATGCTTTGCTTAAAGATACTGCATCCCATGCATTTTTACTGTATTTTGAGCTCTTCTATTCCCACAACAGTAATGTAATATCCATTAGCTTTGACTTTAAAATGCTGCTACTGTATAAAAACCCAAATGCCACGCTTTATACCCTCCCTGACAGACTCTACCATTTAGATCCCACCCCTG